AGATACACAAATGTTTTCACTGAAACAGATACACAAATGTTTTCACTGAAACAAACATTAGATCTTAGTGACTCCAAAAAATAAAGCTCAGTAGTTCTGCTGAATAACTTGTACTGAAGCAGCCTCTCCCATCCCAAAACAGACACAACTTCCAGAATAAAATTCCCTTGGGAAGCAGGGAAATTATTCTGACAAAATTTTGCTTTTAATATGAATAGAATCCAGGCAGAATGGAGAGATATTTGAGAGTTGCTTATTTCAGTTGATTACTGTGCATAGACGAAGATTCAATGACAAATGGATTTCAAGTGGCAAATAATATTACCTTCCTTCTCTGCTTTTTTTTTTTTTTGTGAAAAGTACTTTATGTACTTTGTAATTACAAGTTTAAAAGAACCTTTTCAGCTACAAACATTCAAAATAAAGTTGTGTCTTTTGTGGTCTTATTAAGAGTAGTTCTTTAAAACAACCAAAATGTGTAATCACATTTTCCAGCGCAGGGACAAAAACATATGCTGAATTCTGCATTTTGTAGCCAGGAGCACTGGTTTATTTTGAGGTACACAGCCCTTGAAGGGTCCTGCTGGATTATCAAGCATCTCCTCTGCTGTTGCAGGCAACATGTCCTATCCCCTTCAAACGTCCTGAGCTTCACCTTCAGGCAGCAAAGCCTTTGTGCCTCCTCCAGCTTGACTTACAGGTCCTAATGGCTTGGCACTTTTTTCTCATTTCCAGTTTAAATTACTCCTGGTCAAACAACACACAGTTGTTCTTCAGCCAACTCTTGTGTTTAAGTATCTTCTATCTCTCCCTCCTAATAGAAACAATAATTATTCTGTCCCCTCTGTTGCTTTATTTTGCTAAGCAAAAGCAGCTTTGCTGACCTGCTCTTGCATCCAGCCCAATTAACCCTCTGCACCCTGACTCAGCTCAGCATTCACCCTTTCTGAACCCCTCAAGATACGCTCAGTGAGTTTTATCCTGCACTATGTGCAGGTGAAACAGGAAACAACAGTAATAATAAAATTAATCCTACAGAGTAGTGATGGGAAAATAAAAAATTAAACCAGAACACAGACAAGGTAAGTTTTCTGTGGGGTCTCTGGACTTTGTATTAAAGTATTTATCCCTCTGCCCCAACCCTGCATGAGTCCTGCAAACAATTTCAGATGACAAGTGAGCAGCTGAGCACACAGAGGGGGCATTTCAACTTCATCCCTCCTGAAATCATCCTTCTGTTCCTCACTCTGAGGCAGTGTCAGGATTCTCCCACTCCCATAAGGCAGCTCTTCAGATGAACACACTTCACAGTAAATATTTTACACACTGCTCTCAGCAGCTCTGGGTTTGCATTTTAAAAATTACACCTCCTTGTTGGGAGTGCACCAGCAGCTTGGAGCAGGCAGAGCTTTTCCTGTATATTATACATCTTTTTCTGATATTTTTCCGCCTGATTAGTAATCACTTCTGAAAATCATTTCAACAGCTCTGAACACCAGCCTTAGTGTTGCAGGGATGCTTCCTGCACAGCGGGACTGAATGCAAATGCTGGGCTGAAGTAAGGCTGCTGACAGCATCTGAGCACTTTCCTCACTGGACACCAGAGGGAGGAGGAGGAAAGGACAAGTGACAGGGAAGTTAAAGAAGAACTGCTTTCAGAGCCCTGAAGGAGCTCATCAGACACTCGAGCCAAGCACATTTCTGCCATTGGACCAAAATAAATAGCGGCACCTTGTCTGGGGATGGTACTGCTGATAAAAGACTTGGCAGGGGTAACACGAGGTCAAGTTACAGGAGAAAGGACCCAAGAGCAGCAGCACTGAGTGCCGGGTGATTTTAGCCAGTCCCATCTTTTTTTTATTTATTTTTTAAATAGAATCACAAAATAGTTTGGGTTGGAAGGGAACTGAGAGACCACCTAGTTCCAATGACCCTGGTGTGGGCACAGACACCTTCCACTAGACCAGGTTGCTCAAAGCTGCATCCAACGTGACCCTGAACAGATTCAGGGATGGGGCAGCAACAGCTTCCCTGAGCAACCTGTGCCAGGGCCTCACCACTATCACAGTCAAGAATTTCTTCCTAATATCTAATCTAAACCTATTCACTTTCAGTTTAAAGCCAATTCCCCTTGTTCTATCACCACATGCCCTTATAAAAAGTCCCTCTCCAGCCATTTTGTAGCTCCTTCAGGTACCAGAAGGTGCTGTAAGGTCTCCCTGAAGCCATCTCTTCTCCATGTTGAACAACCCCAACTCTCAGTCTTTACTACAGGGGAGGTGCTCCATCCCTCTAACCATTTTGTGGCCTCCTCTCACTTGCTCCAACAAGTCCATGTTTTTCCAGTGCTGGGGCCTCCAGAGCTGGATGCAGCACCACAGGTGGGGTCTCACAAGGGCAGAGTAGAGGGGCAGAATCCCCTCCCTCAGTTGCTGCTTTGGAGCAGCCCAGGATACAGGTGGTTTCTGGGTTGCCAGCACACACGGCCAGGGCACGGCCAGCCTCCCACCCACCAGCATCATCTTATAAGCTTTGCACAAACCTGACTGTTTTCGGTTCTGGGGCTACTACTGTCCATACTCTGCTTGGCTTCTCTGCCACAGCTTGAGTGCCTTTGGTCCAGCTTTCTTCTGGATGTGAAGAGAAACCTGTTTCAGTGATTAACTGTGGGTCCAGGCCCATCACAGTCTCTGTCCTGTACCACGAGAGCGTGAAATTTGAAACTGCAGGTGCCCTGTGCTGAGATGGAAATGTCAGGACCTTGAGGGAGCGAGGCAGGTAGCTCAAGGAGACTGATATGGAACCTGTCTAGGAAGGTGATAGCAAATGCTCAACATGTGATTAGTTTCTCAATTAATTTTTTTTAAAAAAGAGAGATTCAACAAGATTACCAGGGAGCTATTTACTATTTTATTAAAACTATGCTTTTATTTCCTCATCAAATCTTTTCATTATGCCTTCAAGGCATAAGGAGGATTATTAAATGTCAGGCACAATTCAAATAATTAATGTATGGTGTTACCAGATATATATGCACTCTCCAGGAGGATTAATAATAGCTGCTATTTTTCTTCCAACCATATTTTCTCCATAATACATATATTAATCATGAGAACGCAGTGCATTTTTTAAATCTCTACAGTACCCTAAGTCTTTAAGGAACTCACACTTTGAAAATTGGCTAATTCTTAATATATTCTCTTCTCTACTTTTTAATTTACTATCAGAATACAAAAACACAGTAAGCACTTGGAAAGGAAGGAGTATAGGAACGGCAGTGCATTCTCCAGAGCTATTAATTGCAGAACCACTGTCTTCAATGCCTCGAAACAGGTATTTGAAAACAACAAACCAGACTTGTAAATTCAGGAAGCAACCTGTCCCTGGTTAAAATGGGCTGGCTTTTGTTGCTCACTTACTACAATCAAAACACTTTAGAGTAAAGTCTTCCATAAAAACCACTGCATGGGACAGTGAGGTCAGAGTTTGTCCCTGTGCTCTTGACTTTGCACTCAACAGCTGACCTGGAGTTTCCCTGTGAGCTTGACCCTATTCCAGTAATCTTAATCCACAGGATAAAAGTGTGCTATGAAAGGGGGGGGTGCTTCCTCTGGTTACTTTACACTTACTATGTGTAGGGAAAGAGTTCCTGTGGATGGACTGATCACTGACAGGCAACCTGCCATCCATGCTCCATGTGGGTTGCAGACAAACTGCCTGGGGGATGGGTTTTGTACCTGCTGGTGGCCTCAGCAATGCAACAAAAAATGAGCAGCGGTCCCAAGTACACAGCAAACAAATGTGTCCAAAAGTAACACTGCAATTGCTTACAACCTGGAGAAGTTTAAATTCTCTCCTACACTCCCAGCTGTATCCCAAGTGTAGCCCTTCCCCAGTGAAGAGTGATTGAGTATCTGATTTTGAACACTGCAAATTACAGGACATATCGCCAGCCTTTTCCATTGCCCAGAACAGCTCAAGAAATGTCCATTTTCTATTTAAAACACTCAAGTTTTACAAGCATGAGAGCAGGGTTTGTTATGTAAGTAAAGGTGTAGCCACACGTGTAACCACAGCACCCTTCAGCCCATTCCCAGAGGATGTGTGCAGTGCCTGTGCCCACGGGAACCTGTGCACCCCCACCAGTGCAGCATCACACAATAAATAATTTTAACCATCTATGTGACCTGACAACTGCCAACCTGGGGCAGCTCCTACACCTCAGGACAAAAACCATTTCCCCAGAGATGCTTAGGAGAGCAGAGCAGATCTTTCATGACACGCCTTTTTTTGTTGTTTTTTTAATTTCAAGAAGAAATTTTTTTAAAGCAGTTTTGAAGACTTACCTCCTCGCTGCACCAGCAACGTGACTTCACTTCCCTTAGGACATTCAATCAGCATATCCACCACCTGGTTGTGAGTGAGGCTCTGCACATTCTTCTTGTTGACCTCTACTATGAGGTCGCCCTCCTTCAAGCCGCGGCACCTCGGGCTGTCCACGATTTGTTTCACTCTTTGGCCGCCCCCACCGGGACTGTCTGCTATAGTAAACCCAAAGCCCATCGGCCCTTTCACTATATGCACAGTTATGAGTTCAGGTTGTGTTGCTATCGAAGACGCCAAAGAGACCGTGTCATTGGGGTACCCATGGGGTCCGTTGGAGGAGACCTCAGCCGGGCTGCTGGGCCTCGCCTCCTTTGTGCCATTTACTTTCCCTGTTTTACTACTGTGGCTCGCCGGGGAGTCGTAATTTTCCTGCCCGTTCACAATGATCGGTTCTTTGTCCAAAATTGCCACGGACGTGACCAGGCTCGTGTTGGGATCGTCGGGGTCGAAGGGCAGGGGGTACCCTCGGCACAGTTCGAGGTCCACGCTGGCACCGATGGGGATGGACTGGAAGATTTTCACCACTTGGGCGTGAGTGTGCCCCAGCACGCAGGTGTCGTTCACGCTGACTATGACGTCCCCTGCAGAGGACACAGACACACAAACACATATATTTTGTGCGCCCCGGGAGGGTGAGGACTAGAGCCTGAGAGCAGATCTGCAGCATCCACAGGTGCCACTAACAGGCAGCAGCAGCATTTCAGTACAAGGAAGAAGAGTGGCGACACTTGGGCAATCAAGAACTCCCTGCACACAGCGGATTCACTGCATAAAGCCTTTATGCACATAAACATTTTTGAAAGTGAAAATGGAATTGGCTCACGTAAGAAATTAATGGATTCAAATGATGGTATATGGCCCGTTTAACAGCTATTTTGAAGTCCGGTTCTCAGTGTTTCGCACTGTGCTACGCTGACATATGACAGAAACAAAACTGAGAGCACTTGAGAGCTGTAACAGAAGGCTCTCAAATACCAACTGCTCAAATACAGTGCCACATGTCATGTCTCATAATTCAGCCTGAAATCTAGGTATCGATTAAGTTATGAGTCATTTTATTAACACTGGGGCTACAAAACAGGGATGTTTAATGCTGTGATGCTTGACCTGCAAGTGAGGGGTTGTGACCTCAGATGAATCCTAAGAAGATTTCATAGAATCAAGATTGAAAAAGACCTCTGAGATTGAGTCAAATCATTAACCCAGCACCACCGTGTTCACCAGTAAACTATATTTCATATTTCACCACTACACCATCGTCCTGGGCCTGTTTTCTCACAAAATAAATTGGCCCTTGCTGCATCCACACAGGGAAATGCAAACTAGCCCACTACTCTGCCCGTTCCTTGGAAGTAACTTTGGAAAGGGGAAAGCAGCACGGCAGAGACACAACCACACTGGTGCAGCCCTACAAAAATCCATCATCCATTGCCACAGTGGTGAGCAGTAACCCACAGCCTCATGTGGGATCCCACAACTACTGGCTTCTCTCCTCAGGGGAGAGCAGGAGCTGGAAGAGCCCCAGTTGGATATTTTGGCATCTGAAATTCCAACACCTTAAGTGCCTTAAGATTTTGAACATATCCCTCTCAGGGTATCTCACTTCCTGGCTTGCTGATGGGAAAGCTGAATGCCTTTCCCCAAGAAGGGGAAGAGGGCTACAGTCCTTTATGAAAGGCACATAAAACCAGCTGTATAAAGATAAATCAAAATGGTGGTGAAGATTTTGATATAAAGCATGGGTACCTGTTTCCATTTTGCCATCCAATGCTGCAGGGCCATCAAGCACCAAACTTTTGATTTGGAGAAATTCATCTGGCTCATCCCCTCCAACGACAGTGAAGCCAAAACCTCTGCTGCTTTTCCTTAGCTTGGTGTGGATGAACTTGCCTTTCAACTCAGAAGGGTTTCGTGTAAAAAAAGGTTTTCCTGTGTAGGAAGTTTGGAAAAAAAATCTATAAACAGGCAGGCAAGAGTGTTTGATCTCTTCTTCCTCTGTCCCTCCCCGTTCTAACAAGTACACAGACAAACACAGCGGTGTGCAGGGACAGGACTGCACTTCACTCCTGCATCCTCTCATCTCACGGCACTCCACCCGTCTCCTTGGATCCAGTCATGCAGTAAAAGGCGTGAACAAAAACCCCAGTACCTGGCACTTTGTTAGCTGTGGTTGTGCACACCAAAGCCCGAAGGCTACAAAGGGGAAAACATGCTGCTTTAAAGAATGGAATATATTAAAGCCGGGAATGCTTGGTTAGATATGTGTCTTATCTCTGTCCTGAGGTGGTTATATCCATCCTGGGAAGGATGGGGCGGGGGCAGCACAAATGCCTCCTACAGGAGTCTGCAGCAAGATTTTCTGCAGAAAGGAACATCATTATGCTTTTCACCACTTGACCTTCTCCAACTTACTGAGGAAAAAGCAACTTCTGAGCTCTGGCAAGACAGTGATATTCTTTAGTACAACCCCCCAGCCCCACCACCCCTACCACCCTGTGACCTCCTCTGGTGAAACAGGGGAGGACGCTGATGTTCTTCAGACACTGTTTGAAGCCTTTTCTCTTTCTTTTCTGCTCCTTGCCTGTTGTGGATGAAACACTGCCAGTGTGAAGTATGGATCAAAGAGCGGCCCAGGATCGGAGCAGCTGTGCTGGAGGGCTGGTAATGCTCTCTGGGAGCACAGTTCAGAGGGAAAGAGGTGCTGCGCAGACAAAAGTGCACCCTTGCAAAGCATGTTGCACAGGCTTGGAAAAGGGATCATGGCTGCTGTACTTCACAGTGCCAACAACTAAACACCTTTGCACTTTTAATTGTTTTTAACGCTTAGACTGTGCCACTAAGCCCTCTGGTGACAGCTCCAGGATCAGCAGTGGGTATCACAGCCAGGAGAGCTGGCGCACTTTCAAACACCTCGGCAGCATTGCCGTGGGCCTCTGTTCAGAAAGGAGACCTCAAGGGAGAGCGAGGGGATTTGAGACTCATAAGCCTTTGACTGGGGAAAAAAAAATGTATATTTGAAGATTATTCATGAGGGGGCAGAGTGAGGACTTGTAGTCTTCTGCCTTTGAAGGGTAGCATAGGAACACAGTAATCCTGTAGATCGTGGGCAGATGCTCTGCTCAGACTCCAACCTGCAAAAAGCCCTGACTATCAAAGTGCAACCCAATGTCTCAGGTAACAAACACAGCTGAGAACAGCCTGCAGCGGGGCTTGGTCCTGGGCTCATTTCTGGTTCAAAAGACAGAACAAGCACAGCTTCCTGGTTTCTGCCTACAGATAGAGGCTGAGCTTGCCCTGCAGTAACAGGACAGCAGCACCACACGCTATGTCCCACCTACAGGATTTGGGAGGGGATCACATTTTAAATTAGTGTTATCTACAAAGCCCAGGTTGGGAGAGTGTTGCCAGGAGCACAAGGAGGGGTCCTTGTGCCCACATCCCTGCCAGCAGTGCCATCAAGGGGAGAGATGGAAACCTCTGGGCACAGGGCTGGGGGATATGGAAGCTGGAAAGAGCTGCTGCAAATGGGGAGCAAGAGAAGAGGGAGCAGTGCTGAGAAAGGAAGAGGAAGGAATGAAAGAGAGGAGGAGTCATCAGCAGGTACCAGGACACATCCCTCAGAGTGGTGCTGAGACAGGTTAATGCTCTCCTGTAACACTGCTGCACATTTCGGTGGCTGGCAGTCGGGAGTGGGAAGAGACCCGAGTGATGGGTCCTTTCCATCACTGTGTGCAGATGTTTGGGCAGCCCTTGCATCAGCCTGACAGTGGAAAAGGCAGAGCTGGCTTTCACAGATGTCTCCCTGAGGAAGATCAGCGTTTTTGGGGCACTCTGATGACATGCCTAAACCCAGGTGCCCGGTGGTCAGAGTACCATCCTCAGACCTCCCATGCTTTTCCTTGCTGATAGACTGGATTACTCTAATGTACTCTAATACCCCATAGGAATGTGCTGGGGGCTTTGGATACTGCTAAATTCCTCATGTCTGTTTTGTAAGGGCTGATCTGCTGCCACCTGCTGCAGAGAGCATTCCCTGGCTCTTCCTGGCAGGAAAGGTTGCCTGGCACAGCAGCACTTCTGCCAGGCCCACCTTTGGGGACCACAGCTGACCTGCCAAGCACGGGAGCATTTCCCAGCTCCCAGTTGCTGCCAGTTCTGCCAGGAAGATGCATTCCAGCCAGATGCCCCCTCTCTCACCTTCCCCAGGCTCTGGCTCCTTCAGACCTGGACAATGCCATTCACTTTCTACGCAATTTAGGTGTAGTCAAAGAGAAGCCTGCTTACAACCACTTGTAACCAGAGAGCACTTTACTGCAGCAGGTACAAGTGGAACTCCCTGCCCTTGCTGGCAACCTGACCCGGTATTGCTTCAGCTCATGCTGCAAATTCAGGAATGATTCATATCCTGTCTCGTTAGTTACTTAGGACAAGCAACTGGTCTGTGAGCAATTGGCTACACAGACCACTGACACTAATAAATAAGGCTGTAATAGCCTAAATTACATAAGTACAACTTCAAAGTATGTCAGACTCTACAGTATTTGAACCTACTATCATTCCCTCCTCATGCAGAGGAGCCACAATCCTTTTCTTGATGAACGGGGTCTCATTTGCCTCTTGCATTCAGCAATAAATGTGGTCTTGAAACTAGTCTCAAAACCTGTGGGAATTCAGGTAAGCAGGCACATGCCCTGGTGTGTGACACTAGTGAGGGAAATATTGCCTTTGCTGGTGGCCGAAGAATTTCACTCTCAGAAAAAAACCTTGTTGCTCTTTTACAACCCGTTTAACAAGGTTGTTACCTTGCACTGGTGCTTCCCGAACTGCCTCTTGGTTGTTTGAAACATGGTTTGGAGCAGCGGGTGGTGGGAGAGATGGACACTCCTCTGTCCATTCTGGAGAGGGCAGAGAGGGAAATGTTACTTGTTTCACAACAGCACCAGGAGCTGCTGCACGAGCACACGCTGCGAGAGTGGGGTTCAGGCAGAGGAGATGTGAGAAGCATGGCAAGAGAGGAAACAGTCACAGACAGAGGGAATGAAATGAACGGGATGTCCAAAAGCCAGTTCCGGAGGATCTCTATGTCCAGGTCAACTGATCCATCTGCTGGGACATCCTACCTCAAGCTCTTGATTTGCATCTAGGTGGACTTGATATTTAAATGAAATCTATTCCCAGTGGCACTCATGGCACCTAAGTAGAAGAACAAGCCCAAATGCCACATGCCCCTCACTGCAGTTGGGCTGCATTTGAAGAAAAAATAAATTAAAAAAAGTAAGAAAGAAAAAAAAAGAGGGGGGAGGGGAGGAAAAAAAAAAAAGTGTTTTAAAATAATGAAATTACTTCACATGTAAGAGCCTGACATCTTCCAAAGGTCTTGGGTTAAGAAATCTCTCATGTAGAGGGGTTTCCAGTGCATGTAAATGCCCATTCCTCATCTCCTTTGATAGCATGAGTCCCAGTGCAGACTGGAACACCACCATCTACTTGAACTATTTGATGGAGCAGATGAAATAGGAAAACATCTGTTTTACCTGGTTTTGGGAAGTCTATAAATTCTCCAGAAATAAAGGACATCTAAAGAAAAATCCTTCCTCTCTATCAAGGCTGAAAGCTTCTGTGTTTAAGTGGTTATAATATGGTCTAGATTTTCTCCACAACATTTCCTGTGCACATGACTTTGCCTTTAAACACTAAGGCCACAGAAAGAAGGATAAACACTTTGGCATGGTGCTGCCATGGCAAGGGAGGGCACGTTCCCTCATGAACACCACAACCATGATGCCCTCAGGGGTGCCAACCTTCTGGAGGCTGTTGCTGTTGCTCGAGCTGTTTCTTCCTCTTTGCTTCAAGAACTGGGTTTTCATACTGTGTCTTCCGGTTGATGTGGCTGGAGATGAAAGAGAGCAATAAATTAGGAAACCCTTTATGCAAACAGAAGGAATGAGGGCCAGGCATGAAACTCCTCTTTCTGAGGAAAAGACAAACCCAACAGCAGTGAGTGTGGAGCAAGGCTCACCTAGTAGTGCCAAAAAGAGTATTTAGAAAAACAAGCGGATTCCAGTATTGATATGATGTCTTGAGTAGGAATGGCTAATTCCTCCAAATACATTAGAGTAGTGATCTATCTGTGAAAAATGAGATTAAAGGAGAAAAGGTGCTCTGTCTGATTGCATTTCAAAAGACAGGCCTGTAGCATCCCTGCTTTAATCAGATTCCCAGAGGTGCAGTCATTCCCTGGCTCACCAAAGTTAAAAACGAACAAAACAAATAAACTCCAACCACTGGTAATGATATCTGTCAGTGATCTGATCAATGCACACTGGGGGTCTTAAAAATATCTGCAGGGGTGCACGCTATGAGCTGGGCTCCAAATGAACCAAAATCTACCCAGGATCAGCCACCATCAAATGCTCCCAGTGGAAATCAGCATTTGGTGTAACTTCAGCTGTACTTGTTAGGCAGCTTTGGACCAGTATGAGATGTTGAGAGCCAAAACTTCTCACCAATCTCAGGGAAATGAAAAAAAAAGCAGCCCAGCCCCAGCATGGCAGACCAGCCATGCACTCCACAAGAGGATTAACCATCTTATGAAACCAAGTGATGAACACCAGCCACAGATGCTGGGTGGGTGGGGGCATGTCTGGGACTCCCTGCACCTTATGGTTCATCAACTGTTCAAGAGCCATTTTCAGTAGTGATTTTCTGCAGCAGAGGAGCAGGCAGACCTTAGAAAATTATGTCAGCTTAAAGCCCATCTTTGTATCCAAAGTAAAGTTTACTATTAAGAATTTGCTATTATATTGTCTCTTATCCCATGTGTCTTTATAAGAAACCCTAAAAACCCCCACATGAACAACCAACCAATTTTACAGGTAATTGTGATAGAAGCACTCCAGAGAGTTATGCTCAGAACTTTTTTCTGCTAAAGATCAATATCAAATTGCTGGAAAAATATTTAACTAGTCAAATAAAAACGAGTTAATGTGGTCTGTAAAAGATTTCTCATTTCAAGGTATTTGCAGAAAGTTAAGAAAATTGATAACTATTTTAAAAATGATATAAACTTTTTCATGATACAATTGTGTCTCAATAAAAACTATTATGCAATAACAGAGTGCCTGAACTGAAGGGACAGAGACAAATGCTAAAATTATAACCATCTTGCTAGCTTAGAGACAGTAAGTAAAATAAAATTATGTCTTATTGCTGTTACTTTTAGATTTAATTCAATGAGTAAGGAGTGCCACAAAACTAATGGGCATGTATATATAAAGTGACAGGGAAAAATGCTGTAAAGACCTCTTGGCATGGCATTTAATAGCTGAAAAATATTCTTGATGTCTTTGGTAAATAAATGTCAAGCCTTAATTACACAGTTTGCTAACCCTGTTTCCCTAGGCACAGATGGTAGGGTCAGAAATGAGCCAAAGCAGACAGAAACTGTATTCCATATCTATTCTGAGGACTATCATAAGCCATCCTACTAGACAGGAGTATACACATAATTAAAAATTCATTTTATGGGGTCAGTGATGAAACAGAACTCAGATCTCTGGTTTCCCAAAGGAGTGATCGGACATCTAGATAAAGGAGAAGCTGTTCTAATTCCACAGAGAGTCCCATTAAACCTGTAATTCTATTCCCAACAACACAGCCTGATGCAAGAACCTCTGCTGGGGTTGGTCACATCAGCTTCACCATTCCTCCTTTTGAGTGCCTTCTGACACAAGTGAATTGATGTCTGCTTTGCACACTCGTATTTTGATCATGGTACTGTACGAAGGGGAACAAGCTCAGTTAATTGCACACTTGTTAATGTTCTCTGGATAGAAGTATTTTGTGAGATGTAGGGACTCCTGCACGCCCCAACCCTGGGCTGCTCCTGTCTTCCTTGAGCTCAACCCCCTCCCAGGACACTCCTGTCTTCCCTGAGCCCACTCCCACTCCGGGATGAATGGAGAACAGCCAGGCATGACTGCCCTCTCCCCAGCCTGTAAGGGGGCCAGGGTCTCCTCCTCCTTGGCATGAGATGCTCCCAGCAAAGCACAGAGCCCACTGTGAGGGAAGTCTTCCTCCACCCAACAGCCACACCAGAACCAGGGAGCAGAACTTACTCTACATAGTAGACACCGTATACGGGATCCTCAATTTTCTCCCAACCAGCAGGCAACTCTGGAAATAGAAAAAGCATTACTGAAGCCTCCAATGCAGTTTTTCTCTGACAGGCAGCTGCAAAACTCATCAGTACCTCAGGCTTTGCTTCAGACACTTTTCAGAATGATCGCAGCCTCCTTTGAAAGGCTGGCACAGCACAGCACCAACATCCCAGCCTGTGCTCCCTGGGCTGGTTTAACACCTCACTGGGAAGAAGCCCATTCTAGCCCATTTTTGATTTGCTTTTTGCATGAAATGAGCAAATGCTCAATGTTCTGGGCATGTCTCAAGTACCCTCCTGGTTTCACCACCAAGGGCAGTGGCTCTGGATGGAGCACTGCAGGGGAAGTCCATGCAGGCAGTAAGCCAGAGGTATTTCAACACCAACCTGTGAAGGTGTGTGAGACTATGGCAAGCAATTGTAGCCCACTGCCAGAGAGCACTCTCACCTCCTATACCAGGGCCAAGCCACCTATGCTCACCACTGCTGAAAACAGGATCTTTTTACTCCTTTCTTTGGGATTTGCATTGCTCAGCCATGAGCTCAACACAAAACACATTTTGAAACAGGACAAGGTGAATTTAACATGAACACTCAGCATATAGAACCCGTGCAAGTGGCTGGCACACACAGATGTACTTCAGTGTATAGCACTTAATGTAAGAACACATATTGCCATAGTCACATGGAACAGAGACTTCCTTTTTTTTATTAGCATAATTAACAAAAAACCAGTTCTGAAGATGAAATTAACATTTGGAAATGTATCCACTTTTGTTCCTGATGATTTTCTAGACTGCACATAGTACTTTAACTGTAATTACTAAATGTATATAAAATCACTTCAGCATCCAACTGAGGATTATTAAAGCTGTATGTATTACTTAAGGGCCTGATCCTTGTGCCACTCATTTAAACACACTGTTCCCATTGCCTGTGGGTAATGAAATAATCATCCTATTAACAATACAGAGTGGTGTGTTTGTGTCATACTGAGAAACAACTCAGAAAAAGGCTCTACCACACCATGGACTGTGCACATGTAGTCCCACAGACCCTGCACATTCATTTAAATTTTAAAGAAAGCAACACTGTTGGATAATACAAGTTCAAATACCCCATGCAAATTAATTCCTCAAATTTTATCATGAAATAGTCAAGACTGATAGCAATCTATGTTTGTTTATTATCAAATGCAAAGATTTATTCTCATTAATGGCACCAGTTGCTGAGCCAATACAATCAACAATGGCCCATTAATTAGAATAGCATTGCCATAAGGATAGAAATATCTCCAGACTGGAGAGGAACAGAATCTATACAAACACACATGGACTAATTACTCAAAGTTTATGTTTGTGTTCAGAATTGGCTGGAGATCAGATGAAATCAATTTTCATAGGTTTTGCTCCACATATCCCTTATTTGGAGACAAAAGGTAGGTTTTCCATTCTTATCATTATTTTATCCTTATTGGGTTGAACATCTTTGGATTCCTTGAGACATAAGCCATTAAATGCAAGCCAATGCTAACTTTTGGGCATGAAAAAACTCTATAATTTTATCAGCAGATCAAGCGCTTCAGAAATAGATATTCCTTTATACCCTGCAAGTGTATGTGAGAAAAAGTCAGAAAGCTAGAGGCCAATCTTGAAAGTCTTTTTGCAAAGGGAACTCTCAGGTTTGCAAAGGAGTCCCATAAGGTGAATACACTGTGGGACTGGCTTCCAGATTTTCAGTGCAATTAAATTAAGACCTAACATGAGATTGGGAAAATCACAAGTTGTGGCAGCCATTTAGCTTGTTTCACTATGGTGAAAGCAGAATGGTAAAGAGATCAAGCTGGGGTGGAAGAAAAATAAAAACTCAATGAGGGAAGGGGGAAGTAATGCACAAATGCCTTCAAATGAGTTTTCCACAGCTTTCCTAATAAATGCATTTTGTCTATTTTGGATTATTAAGTGATTTTTATTTTAAAAGTTCAAGCAAATTTTTTTTTGCCTTTTTTCTGCTCACAAAAGATTTTGATATTAAAATTTATTTTTTCTCTTTTAAAGCATTTTCAGATAAGATTAGAAAAACAGCACTTTCCTAACCCCAAAAATGGCATTATGCCAAAATCTTTACAGTTTACTATCTCTGCAGCTTTCTATTTAAGGAATATATCTCTATGTTTTCAAATGTAACAATATACAAAATTGCAGCTTTTAACACATTTCTTATTGATTACATAGATGCACTTTCTGACTTCTACAATCTTCTGGAAGTTCTCTAAAGCAAAAAGTAATGTTCTCCATAGCCATGTTGCACAGTCTAGCTTCTTAGCTGCTTTAAATTATTCATCTCCCTTCTCTATCTCTCCTGCCAAACTGAAGATGACCCAAAGCATTAGATTTTATCACAAATACGAGATTTCCAAAAACATTTTGCATCATTAGGAGCCTGAGTGAGCCATATGGCTTTTATTTCAGTACATCTATGCAGCACCCTGCAGTCCCAGAGCATTTGTCAGCAGGTAAATTCAATGGACAAGTATCTAATTTCACAATTTTAAGCCTGGGATAAATACATTGATTCCTACTGAGATGCTCTAGTATCCTGCCCTACATACAGAGAGGCTGGATGAATTCCTAAAACATTACTTCTCCAACCACCAGGTATTTTAGTTGCATCCATGCATCACTATGAAGGAGCTGGAGAGAACCTCAGCACACTCAGCTCTTACTGCTCTTTGTGGGGCCAGGAGGGTCTGCCCATGCATATGTTAAATTCTACACTAAGGGTAAATTTGTGTGTCCTTTTGTTCAACCTTCTGTTAAAAAGAGGTGGCCTATTACTCCATATTCAACACGTCCTGGCAAACAAGCAGCTCTGCAAATCCCCACTTTTTAATTTCCTTATGTTTAGAACAAAAACTGTCGATAAGCTAAGGAGCTAAATATGTGTCACCAAGTAATTTATACTAACCATGAGTTTTCATGCCCCCTCCCTAATGTTGCTGCAACCAATTGAGTAATTTGAAAACGTCTTTCTTTACACTGCAACATTTCAACACTCAGCTCAACAGCGTATTGATGGGCTGTGAGCTCAATAAAGCTTATCTGCATTAAAACAAAGGGAACATCTCGTGATGTTCGAGCAAAACACTTGTGTACGTAAGTGCCTGCAGAACTCGGGTCAGGCTTACCAATTAATGAATTTCCCTGTATCTATTTTTTCAGCTCTTCTCTTGCACTAGATCCTGATAGTAGACTGAAAGAAGGGGTCATTTCTAATTCATTACTGCCTTTAAATTTATTTTTTCATCCTCTCTCTTGTTTTAAGTCATTGTTTGTGTAGAGCTTCGTGAGAACCTTTTGCAGGTTGTTGGTGTGCATCCACCTACCTCTGATGTTACTTAGTCTGCTGCTGATTATTTGTATGAGCTGCACGTAACACTCATGTACCACCAAATAGAATGCATTCTTCTTTAAATTGTCATTCCTTTCAAATTCTTGCTCTAAAAGAAGTTAGGCCTCCAACATTATTCCAGGCACACTATTCAGAAGAACCACTCCTGGAGCAGTGTTAAAAGTCTGCTGCCGGCTGCTGATGCCGTATCCATCACACAGAAGCAGGGAGCAGAATACACTTACTTGGAAGTCATTACAGAAACCAGAGGTTAATTCCCCAGTAATACAATTCCTCCAGTACGCAGAACTATGAACTGTAAGTACAGTCCTTTCTAAAAGCAATAATAGTCCTAGTGGAAATAAAATCCTCCGCAACCTCTTATCCTTTCAGCTTTCCGAGTGCACTAGAGCATAGCTGAACAGAAATAACAACTACCTCCACCATCAGTATAAACACAATGAGCACTGCTGAGATTAGATATCAAGACAGCATCCCTCACAAAAAGATGCAGCAAATAAAAGTGTACCACATCACTGAAAATGATCTGTTTACAAAATCACCGACTGAGGCAAAATTTTCAGCTGCTTCATTCACAAGCTCAACAGAAGCACCTGATGTAACACTTAAACTTCCTAAATCACACTCAGGTTTCTATTGTCTGGGAAATGTCTTTGGCCCCGGTGAAAAAGCATCATTAGCTACTTGATTCCAACTTCAGCATCTATAAGCTTTTTCCTGGAGCCAGTGATGCCAAAGGAAAAGCCCCTGACTTCTGCAGGGTCCAGGAGGAAGCGGCTTCGAACCAACTTTGCAAGATTAAGGCCCTCTAGCTTTCTTCAACTCTCAATCAGTAAGAAAACCACTGTAGATCTGAAGCTAGGGAAAGATTAATGCTAGGGAAGTTTTGCTGATAAATTACGCTTGTTGAAATAAAAAAACTGAAAGATGCAAAATGATACAAAGGAGAAAGTAAGTAATTAAAGGCTTAAAACAGTGCACTTGAAGTCAAACATCAAAACGAGAGATGGATGATTTACCTAGTTCACTGTCCAGTTCCTCCGTGTGTACCCCTTCTTCTCCAAGGGAAGAGCAGTAAATGAGACAGAAAAAATTAAAAGAAAATTTCAGATACCAGCACCAAGCAAGAAATTCCCTACAGCAAACAGCAGAACCGGCACTAATTTTCTACAGACCAAGCCCAAGCTTTCCATTTATCACACTTCAGTGATCAGAATATTGATGGATCTGATGAAGATAATGAAAAAACTGGTTCTTGCACTCTCAAAACATCTGTATCAATGGACTACTTCCACGTCATGGCTTGATATGGCAAAATCATGCATTTGTGTTGTTCTCACTGTAGTGAGGCTTCTCCCTCAGATCTGCACAGTCTGACCTTCGTAATCCGTTCTGCAGACACATGGATCTATCAGAAGGCCAGATATGAATACTAATGAAGAAATCTGAGAGGAAAACCTTGCATCTAAATAAGGACTAATGTAGCAAGATTTTCAAGGAAGTACCTAAATTTATGTGCAAACAAGGTCCAAATGACTTCACTGTCCTACTCAGATGATTCAACATAGACACGAAGTGCCTTGTTTAACTGGAGGCACAGATCCTCACTACAGTCCAGATGCACTGGTGAGGCATATATAGGAATGCACCAGTTTTAGCAGGGCACCTGGGACAAAGATCACATAATTTTTCAAAGACACAAAGCCATCAATATTCGCTGTTGCTCCATTTATCATTATCTGCTCCATATTCATAAGTTAACAGTGACACAGATGATTAAAGTATTGCTTAGCCTATAAATAATAATAATGCAGTCTGAAAATGAAAGATGGTGACAAAACAAGAACAAAGATGGTAAAAACAATCTTGGACCTAATACAGCAAAGTTTAAGCCACATAAATTAATGACAGAACCAACCAGAAAACGTAGAGTCACAATATTGCTTAGGGAAATCTGGACACCCAAAAAACCACTTGCACAACCTGTTTGCAAAATATTCTACCAACAGTTGTTTGGGACCATTAGTGTGAAATACAAATTGCAATTTCCTTTGATACCCTAAACAACTGGAAACAAGCAAAAACTTGTTAGGGACACATATCCTGACAAAGCAAAAACACAAAGCGACTGCGACCAAACAAATCTGAAACGACATCTAACATTTATAAAGCCCACAAACAGGATGGGATTGAGCCTGACAACTCACTTGCACACACACCAAACAGAACAGAGGAGTCATCCCACTGACTTCAGTGGAATGACACCCAAAAGCGATCCTTGCCAAAAACTGTCCAGCTTCTATGATGCAGCAAAACTAACTTCACCTCTTCATTTTTTTGAAATATAATTATTCTTATGCACTAAGCAAGATCAGAGCAGACAAGCAAAGCAGTGCAGTGCACTGCTGTAACTATGAAGCAACTGGTTTAACTACTGAATGTTAAAAATATCCATTAATGAGCAACTCAGTGAATGAAGTGAAGGGGTGTGTGGGAAGATGAAATTAGCTGATTTTAAGGAGTTGATAAACAAAAACGCCACTACTCTTCAAAATTATGAACTCAATGAAATACAATAAATAATACCAGCTGTACGTTTCTAATCCCAACAAAAAAAATTATTTGAATGTTTGCTTTACAATTGCTAAGAGGACAAGAGATAGACTTTCCCTTTTGCAAGGAGACCTAAAACTGTTTAACAGAGGAGCTTGGCCACCAGTTGTAACCTCATCCTACCAGCTGCTCCTCGCCCTGGCACAGCATGTGATACCCTGACTCACAGTGGCACGTGCCACTTGTTGGCATCACCAAGGACATGGATGTAGTGGGAGTGTCACTGGTAGAGAAAGCCAGGAAAGCAGGAGGGAGCTTTGCCTGCATACATATGCTATTATTAAATTTTGTTCCAGTTACGGTGACCCAGTGACATATCCACTTATAGAGGCAGAGCAAGACCTTCCCTAACCCAGCTCCCCCTGCCCGTTCTCTGACAAATGATGCCAGTTGCCAGGGACATGAAACAGGGGCCAGCTCGGTTTTTGCCCGGTCTTTGCACATCCCCATGGTTTGAGGGTAGGCTGCACTGTGCACTAGGAAGTGGGTGACCTGCTTCATCACGGCAGCCAAGGCTGCACAGGTAAATTCTCACATCATGCAAAATCTCCCATGTGAAAGGAAGCAGAGGTCGAAAAACTGCATGTGCAAAAATAATAACAGCAGTTCTGGAGGTCAGAGTTGAACCTATGACTGAAAAGGGATTGAGTTGATTCCTTCCTGAAATAAAATTGTAATTTATACTGAGGTGATGGACACTAGTAGGAGGTTAATCATATCATGAAAATTAATTTTACAAGGACAGCACCTGAAGAAGCAAACCCTTCCATTTTTAAGACACGATACTGTGATAGCGTTATGTTAGCCAAAATTATGCAGTTGAATACCATCACCTTTCCTGGTCAGTAGAGCAACACTTCCACACAGGTTTTTCCAAATATTTATTTTCATAATTCCTTTATTCTTCCAGCATCTCTGAAAGGATGCAAGGAATTAACCTCCTGTAACACTCCTGCCTGTGGCTGCTCTAAATCGGACAGTGGCTTGCATTTCCAACATCTCAAGGAATACAAAATCTTATCAGTGTAAATTTTCAGTGTCATAAATCCACACTTTCAAATGGAATTTGTTTTCAGCAATCATAACACTACACGGACTGTCAGAATTTAACAGTAGAAATGAAGCAATTGAACTATTTCTGCTCAAACAAGGAAATAACAACATAACTCTTTCAACCCATGTACAGCAGGTGGTTGAAGCGCAACACAAATGGATCAAGCAGAGACCCAGTCGTTCCCTCCTACACAGAGATCCAAGGAGCAAATATGCTGGACAGCTTTGAGTCTTGTTCAGCATCAGTGACTTTTCAAATGCCTTTGCAAAAACAGAGGCCTCTTACTTGTAGCACCTCCTTGATTTTCACTAAATGATCTGACATCTCAATGCTTATTTTACATCCACAGTGATTTTACAATAAATAATGGATATTGTCTCTATGCACTTGCTGATAAACTTTTCCTAAAAAAAGAAGTCTTTCTGAACACACGGGTTATTAGAAAGATAGAAGGGAAAGGAATAAAGTTACCTAGAAGGGGATGAAACATATTCTTATTTCACCATTTTTAGTCTCTTACCATCATCTTCACATTCTTCTAGAGGCTTCTGCTGTTTGTTCAGGCACCGTGGATCTAGCCAAGATGTTGTTTTTGTGTTATGGCTGGAAACCAAAAATGGAAATATGACCTTTGTTAACAAACCAGAGCTGAAGTATCCGTGACATAAAAGTATATATCCTCTTTATTAATCCACACTCCTGAAGGCATACTTTTGATCCAGAGGAACAGCTCTACAATTTGATGTTTTGCAAACTAGTCTACCAAATCACAAGAACTTTGGCACTGAAAACACAAAGGTAAAAAGTGCAAACATACAAATCAGCATTCCTGACCAGAAGGAGGCACATGGAAGCTGCAATATTATAAATTTCCAATCTTTCGGTTTTGGTGGCTTGTTTTTTTAATTCCAAGAGCTGTCTCTAAGCCAAAGACAGAAGTCTCCCTTCCTCCCTAAACTACGCAGTGACCTTTTTCCTACAAAAGACCTTTGACATGTCTAGAGTTGACCTAAGCGTTAGTCAAAAACAGTTTCCAAAGTGAAAACTTTATAATTACAGAAATAAAAATGTTCCGCCAAAGCCTTTGATGGAAGTTGAACAGCTTTACTTTCAACTCTTCCTTTCTACAAGTCCCCTGACAGTATCATGATGCCAGTCCCAGCGGTGAAGGCTGTATGGTAAACAGGCTTAAAATACATTTCTCTAGAAGTTATTTTCTCCCATAATTTCATTTGCATAAGCAGACAATCTGGCAATATAATGCCTCTTCTACAACCTGGTGTCATATTAGACATAACCTGCAAAGATATCCCTCCAGTCCCCGAGGTATCACTTATCTAGCTTAGCCTTTAACACTGCTTAACAGTTTTAAGTTTCAATACCGTAGTAATGCTATTTACTTCTCCTTCAAGGTCTCAAAGAGGTTTACAAACTGAACTTTAGCCTCACAACAGTCTCATGAGGGCTCTGCAATGAGGGCCGTGATCCCTGAGGAACTAACAACCGACCAGCAAACTTGTACTGTACCACAAAAAAAGGGGACTGCCCCGCTCCTGGGATCTGAGTGAGTAAATAAAAGGTCCTTGTTTTTACAAATCCTACTACCCAGCCCTCCCAAGGCAGGATGAGCAAACGTGTTTAATCCTTATGTATGCTTCAGAGCAATTAATCGCCAACTAGAAAACTGAATGGCAGAAATTCAGCAAGTCAGGCACATTAACAGCAATAAAGCAGAGGGGGTCTGCCAACTTATAAATAAGCAAGTCTGTAGTCTAGCTGAGAAAGAGGGCGGTGGGAGGAGAGCAATAGAATATTTGCATATTTCTTGCAATTTTGTCTCGCTAACCAAAGGCTCACAACAGTGTAGTTTGCTGAGGCACAGAAAATTTAGCTAAACACCTTTCAGATCATACGCTCAGAGGGACAGGATTGTGTTACACCTGCAACATGCACAGATCTACACACAGGGTAACGAGGGGCTGGGATACGCTGGGTAATGAAAACCCCAATTAAAGCACCAGAGAAACATATCTCAACAGCCAAATTGCTTCAGCTACAAGACATCAGGATTGGTTATCTGACACACAGCTTTGGCCCCACTGGACCTGCACTGGTTCTGTGCAAGCAGCTCAGGTGCTCTCATGCTGCTCCCTTCAGCACCATGGCTTGATACCCAAAATGCCACAGACATTGGTACAGACATCTGAGCCAGCTTGGGTCCGCACAGCTCATTAGCTTGCTCTCTTAATTTGATACAAATCAAACTAAATGGTTTCCAGGCTCAGGGTGTCCTTAGAATTAATAGAACTGCAGTCATTCAGTGCTGCATCCATGCTAACACGTTCGTGCACAAAACCAGCCCCATGTGTACGTTCCCCCAAACTGGTCAATCTGCACTGCAGGGAGGGAGCAGCTGGTGCTGCCAGAGCTTCACGTCAGACAGGCAGTTGTGTATGCAGGCTACGTTTTCCCACCACATATATAATTCTCCTGCAAAAGGTCTGACAAGTTATTTAAGGTGCTACAGTCCTGCATTGCTAAGAGAACACAAGAGAATACAGCAGCCATGGAGATGGGTTTGGGGAAATCAGCGGCAGAACCTCTGACTGAAGCACCTGTAAGGAAGGACAGCAGGGGCCCAGGTGGGGTCAAAAAGGGGAGCAACTGACTGCTTGGGCAGCATTTAGTGCTCATCATCTGTCCTCCTCCAGGGAGGAAAATGGTAGGCTGGATAGGCTATTACTCAGGTTGTGTTCTATATATAAAGGCCAGAAAGTACGTCAAAGAACGAGGCACCCTGAGGACACAGTGAGGGGCAGAATGCCCCGTTTGGGCTAATGTACACATTTCAGTTCCATCTGATGAGAATTAGCACTGCCTTCTTGACTTTGGCTTACACTGGGGGGAGGGGGGTTGGTGGAGCCTCTTCAGAGGCCTGGAAAATGGCCTTTTTTTACATCAGCCCTCTCCCAGATGGGGAAGGCTGCTGCAGTGCTCTCAGTCATCCCAGCTCCTCAGATCTTCTGGCACTCTTCTCTAATGTGCTCCCCCACCACTGCAGCCAAGGGAAAACCTGCTCTGATGAACCTTTTCATGGCTATGTCTGAAAGTCCCCTCTCCTGATGACGAGGCAGGACTGCTGGCCCTTACTGCCCTGACCCAGCATAACTCTCCAGAGCACCAGAGGGGCAATTAGTAGAGAAGGTTCTTCTGCACTAACCAGTCACTGGCTTTTGGTACACAGAGGATATCAGGTTCCACAATTGCATTAAACAGACCATCAAATCCAAAATCAATTCCTAGCCCCCTCCTCTACTTTGGCAGCTAGGGGTTTGAGTTGCAAGGGCTAATTGAATGTTAATGTCTAGCTAAGCTCTGTGCAAGAAATCTCTTCCACTAATAGGTCCTATTTTATAAGTTACTCCTATCTCAATAAATTTAGACAAGTATAATTACAGACTATTATTTATGGCATGAAAAAAATCAATATCATCATAAAACTGCTGACAGCACTCAGCTCTTAGGCAAAGACTGCAGAGCAAAGGTACTTGTGTTTAAAACTTACTGCGCCTACTCTGCACTGAGCTATTCCTTCTGCAAACCACTGGAGCACATGAACACGTTTGGCCCATTTGCTCTGAGGAGGGGACAACACACAAAGTCCATCCCTGGCTCTGCTGCTGCCTGCACACAGGAATTGGAGGAATCCCCTTCCGCTGCATTATGCACAGAGTCAGGCGCCAGAAGTGAAGTCTCAGCCCTTTCAATTAGGAGCTTTCATTCCACCCATGAAAACAACTGGCCCGTATTTTATAAGTGTCTGTTGCTTTTGTAACTACCCTCATAAAGCAAGCAATTCCCACTGCCTTTGAACTCAGGAGTAATTTGGATGTTAATCCAATCAGGAAATGCAAACCCCCTTCCGAAGCAGTAAAGAATAACAGCTCTGCACCATAACTGTATACACTAAATATTTAATACACACGCATACACACACAAAATGCATCCATGGAGGTTTACTTATGCCCAGGGAGAGGGAGAGAGATGGAATTAGAACAACAAAAATGTGCTTTACTCTATAAAATAGACTTCTCCGTTCTCGGTGTAGGCCATCTCCCAGTTTTCCGGCAGAGGACCTAGGTTATCCTCGGCAGAAGGAGGTAGGTATTGAGGGAGGTTCTGAGACGGTTCCGTGGTGGGAACGTTGGTGTGGCTATCAATCACAGACGGTGGGGCTGCCTCTCTCACGATATGCACGTTATGCTCGTCTTGGTCACCAGACTCTGCTGTAGAATAAACAAGAACAAATAAAAGTGAAAATCAGTCTTTTTCTCCTCCTGTTTGCTCTTCCAGGTTTATCCTAGCAGTCTTCCTCTCCTTGCTTTTTAATTCACAAGACAGAGCAACAGATGAACCGAGGGCAGAGCCTCAGCAGTCTTCTTGCCAGCAGGGACGAGCTTGCTTTGCCCACACACACTCTGCAAGCCAGACCCCAGCCAAACAAATCAGGAGCGGTGATCAGCTCCTATGTTCGCTCTCACAGGCCCTGCTGAGGTACCAAATTCTTCCAAGCTGTCTGAGGCCAGGGCTCACTGATGTAGATGAGTTCAATGGGCTTTTGAGCAGGCTTACAGGTTCACTCCTGCAGTGCCAATTGTGAGACAGGGATTAGGAGAATAAAATTTCCTGTTTGAAGAATGATCAAAAGGGGAGATTTTTACAAATGCAAAAGGTTGCCAGAAGCTCAAAGTCAACAAGCTAATGGTGAATGTCTTCACTGCAGTGTGTTATTTTAAATTAAAAATTAAAATGAATGTCAGCACTGCATGACGTGTCCACATGTTGCTGCTCACTAGTGCCTGTTCTTGCTATCTGAGGAGGTTTACTCCATGGCTCATCATTATATCCTTCCAGTCAAAGTCAGTCAGGAGTATTTTAAGATGTATCTGGCCCTTCTCCCTCTAAGGAAACATTTCTGATGCTTGTATCTATGCAGCTTTGAGTTGTATCCATGAAACGCTGCTGCTCATTCCCTCCATCCCTAATCAAAGTAAATGCTCCCCAGTAAACAGGTCTGTGCCCCTAATTCCCTCACAGAGAGATTTTGGCAACAATAGACAAATTCTAAAATCAACCCTGTGTCTCCCAAAGGGATTTCCTCTGTTTGGTTCTTGCAGGTATTGAAAATTTATGGCAGTACATCCCCTGAGAATATCAGTACAAGCAGCAGTCAACACACTGAGCAAAAGACTGAGAGATCAGTGTCACCCTCTGCCAAGTCCCCATGGAGTGGGGCTCCACAGACAGGACCTCAACCCTGCTCTCCAGACCAGAGACCATGGACATCCTCCACTCACACCCCACAGCCTTGGAAATAGCTCCTGCACTATTCTAGTTTGTGTGCTGCCATTACCAAAAGACAAGATACTGAACAGAATAAACTGGGAGAAACAGGAAGAAAAATATCTATACCAGCACTCTCAGTGCCTCCTTTTCAGCCTTCCTGGCGTTTGATATTTTTAGGTAGAAGATGACAAGATAAAGAAGCATGAGTGAATCATCGCCAGCTTAAAACTGAGAGTATAAACATGCCAAAAATCTGGAAAACACAAGTCACCGAGAGGTCTTCTAGGGAAGCAGGAGCATTTTAATATGGCTAGCACACTTACATGTGAAATAAGCATAAGGAATCACTTTGGTATATGAGAAATAACTCTTTTCTTGACTCTGTGCCCATTTAATGAAGGCAAGGGGCCAGGGTGTGATAACGTTGTGACAAATGAGCTGCATCTTCCAGTATTTCATCTTGTGAAGGAAAACAAGGAAGAGAAATGATGCTCAAGTTACTTCAGGGGCACCAAACTGAGATGGGCAGCAAAGAAATCAGACAGCATCTCCCACCAGCTACCTCCCAAAATCAGACCCCTACGACAAAGGCTGAGGCTGCTGTCATGTCACAACAATTCAATTCTTGAAACTGGGCTGAGGAAGCAATGCTCTAAGTGCTAACAAATACTAGAACTGAGGACATGGGGAAGAACTCTTGCCCCTCAGAGCTTCTCAAATTTCCAGCTGATTTCTGTGGAACTCAGTGGATCTCCAACAGTGTTTTGCTCTGAATCTGCCTGCACAGCTCTTGACTTTAGATTGCAACAGTTTCCAGTGATCTTTAAGCCGGTGCTTGATGGCAGTCATGGTGGGACTGAGATCTGTGTTCAGCAGGACACAAGGCCTTCACAAAACACAGAGCTTGCACCCAAGCTTCAGATCTCATTCCTGCAGCAAGCAGCCCTAGATTTGCTGAAAGGTACCTTGGAGAAGAGGACCTTGAAAATGTATGTGATGGGCAGCTCTACATGCAAGGAAGGGGAAGAACAGCAACATATTTAGTAAGCAGCAATAATTAATTTCAAATGTAATCCTGGTTGAGTCATTCCATACTCTTTATAACTGTCAACTATAGCTCAACTCTTCCTTGACCTTTCTGCAACTAATGGATTTGAACTTTTCCACATTTCTTTCTCATTCAGATCAATCCCGCAAGGCCTTTTTGGAAAGACACAACTGTGCGTGTGGTTGTTCACACCTGGACATCTTCCATTCAGGTGCTGGCCAGCTCTGTTTGAGGTTTGACAGCTTTGCAGAAAACACATTAAAAACAACACACCCCCTGTCAAAACACCCTCCAAAAACCTTCCCCACGTATCCTAATTGACAGACCGCGATATTTTTGCTTTACCTGTGAAGCTACTGCTCATTTCAGGTACATCATCCTCTTCCTCATTCTCTGTATGCACTATGCCAGCATTTTGCATATCATTGTAAGACTTGGTTCGCTTTGGAGTCGACTGCTTGGAGCCAGACTGCAGGTTTTGCAAAGCATCGGTGGAAGTCACTTTCCCACTGAGGGGCTGGCTGGGAGGCTTGGGCGTTCCATAATAGTTACCTAGGCAATAGAGACACATTTGCATCTTCACAAGAGAACAGTTTATAGCAGCAAGATTTCTATTTTATTTTCTTTACGGTTCCATTAAAATTTCTGCCCCTCCCCGCAAATCAGTAAACAAATAAGCTAACGCACGCCATTCCCATTTCTGGGGGTGCATATTTCATCTCTGCAGCAGACACAGAAATATTTCTTCCCCTTTCAGTTATTCTTGTCAAATCTAAAAGGAGAAGCAATGGTTGCATTGTTTAGGTGCACTGAGCGTACATGGGCTAAAACAAAAGGCAGTCATGGTGAATAGCAAAACTTCATCTCATTACATCTGAATTTCAATTAGTAGCCTTTTTACATGTGTGCACCCACACAATGCTGTGGCAGATCTGGAGTGAGCCCTGCAGAAAATAAAAAATTCATGACTGCTATCACCAAGAGAAGTGATGAAAGGCTCGATGGCCTGCTTTAATACACAGGTTCTTTTAGGGGAGATGTTGCATTCAGAAAGCCAGAACTACTCTCTCTCTCTAAATGAAAACTTTGTCAGAGGAGAGAAAAGACATGATACCACGTGGCACTGCTTTCTTCAAAGAGCAAATTCAGCAGTTGGGTCAACTTGGGTAGAAGTGAACAACCAGACCTTAAAGTTAAACTTGAAGGAACAAAGATGCACCAACAGTTACACAAATACACAGCTCTCAGCCATCACCAACTGTGATGGAAACAGAGCACAGTGCTCCGCTGTCATTTTAAGTGACTGTGGAAGAAACACAGAATAAGTGCAGATTCATTGATGCCAGAACCACACAGAGGTATTTCACTGTCCCTGTTTCACTTCACACCACAGCAGTGCTTCATTTGCCCTGACACACTCCACAGGAACCTCAGGTCTGGAATCTATTCCTGCAGCACTTAGCATTAAAGGAATTCAGACCTACTGCAAGGTGCATCTTTTACTTTTTAGACAATGTTAATATATATAAATATATAACTGTTTTACATAAAACTCCCCCAAATTTTCCCTTTCAGGAATTATTGATAATTTTTGTTTGCCACCTTTGGATTCCAAGGGTAGACTTAAAAATTAACCCTATACTATCTGGCATGATAAAACATAAAGGATGCCCTCCCCTATAGCTTCAACTGTGGGAACAGTGCAAAACTCTTCTCTAAAATATACATGTACATTTATTGACATTCTTCATTGACCTCCATAAGCTATGTATAACCTCAGAGCATTATTTTTCAATTTTTCAGTACATATTTTCTCAGCCAGTGTGGGAGATGATCATGTTTGAGACCATCTAAGGAACCTGAAGGTGCACAAGTCCGTAGGACCTGATGAGATGCATCCGCAGGTCCTGAGGGAACCTGGATGAACTTGCTACACCACTTTCCATCATATTTGAGAAGTTGTGGCAGTCCGGTGAAGTTCCCACTGACTGGAAAAGGAGGAACACAACCCCCTTTTTTTAATATAGGAGGATCCAGGGAACTACAGGTCAGTCAGTCTCACCTCTGTGCCTGGCAAGATCTTGCAGCAGAGCCTCCAGGAAGGAAGATCATCAGGACCAGGAATCACCCTGGCTTAGACTGGCAAAGACCATCTGGGAAGACCATTTAGGACACATCACACGTTGCTGTCTTTCCCCCTCACTGTTTCCCATGAGGTGAAGAAGTATTTCTTACAGAGCTGAAGCCGGAGAAGTCGGAGCAGCTCCTCCCTCCATGCTTTTACAGCCGGAGTACTAGGACAGCAACACGTGCAGGTTTGCCTTAGCAAGGTGTGTCCCAGCCTGTACACAACGTCGTGGATTCAGCTCCCCAGGAGCAGCAACACTCCGCAGTGCTTTCATCTTCTGTTCATCATTTCAGAATCTTAAATGTACATTGATGCATAATTTATGGTGGGAAGGAAATTACTTCTTCTGCAAAGAGCCTCTAATGGGTACAGAGGCTCCGCAAGCAGGTTGCAGTCTCTGCTAGAGAAATAATTCTTATGCTCTACATACTGCAGGACTATTTTATACAAAAAGAGGAGGAATGGGGGAGAGAGAGTGCAAAGGGAAAATACAAAGGTAGGTGGGCAAACAAAAAGGATAATTAACCCTGCTCCCACCTGTCCTCTTTGGCATTTCTCATGAACAATGATGCTATTCTGGGATTTTGGGGTCCTTTTTTTAGGTTGTTTCTTTGTTTTTCCAGGGGGAAAAAGAAACTGTTTTTTAAGGATATAAACTGCTAAGCAGAGAGAGCCATGTGTGTGCCGTACACGTGAAAACAGCTTTTATTTATGGCACTGCACATCACTATTTTGTGGTCTGTTGTAAATGGTTAAATCATTTAGGATGGATGCAAGAAAGTGAATGAAGGGGATATATAGATGTTAATAGTATGGGTTTTATTTCCCCTGGACAAGAACATAGCACAGATGTTACCATTCCTCCTCCAATTACAGAGAAATATATGATTATATCTTTGAATTTTGTTCCTCTTCAGTTCCTCTAGCAACAGCAAGGCTGGAGTTCCTAACAGTCCACGGAGAGCTGTTCCTCAGCAGAAAAACAGGCTTCTCTAAAGTATTTCAGATTTTCTTACACAGAAATCACTAGTAATTTTTCAACCAGCCATGGCTGTTGACACTATGATTAATGAACAATTATTTTCTATGAAGACAGTGTTCTATCTTAGAGGATCCCTCTAAGTATACATGAGCATATAAAAAGAGCAAATAGGAATTTGAAACTGAGCGTGGCTCTGCATGTGTGGGTTTTATGGGAAATGCAGCCATTGGGGCTGAACTTTTCTTTTTTCTCCACAGGAGGCAGATTAAGCCTGAGTCAATATTCTAAAAAAAATCACAGCTCTTCCTTCAGATTCACACAAGGACAAACTGGCTGGGGAAATAACCCAGCTTATGATGAAAATCTTCAAAAGAATGCTCCAACCCAGCTTCCAGGTGACATGGAGAATGAGAGAAAATGGAAATACTACTTTTTCCTAATAATTGCTGGAGGTAGTCAGACCTATTTTTCTTCTCTAAGAAGTTATTTTGGAAAACATGGCACATGGGCCTGCCTGAGTGTGGGGGCAGACACACTATTAGGGGTGGCTGGTACCTAAAATTATCATCAAAACTCATGTTTCATCCTAGAAATTGGAAAGAGAAAATATTTACCCTGTGACTCAGAAATCCAAACGTGCCCCATTAACAACAGTGAACAGCCCAGCAAGAGTTTTACAACACTCAGACTTGACATTATTCATTCAAATTAAATCTGCCAATGTTTACGAAAAAACATACATTTAAAAATATGCTTTAACTGTGTTTTGCGAGCCACTTGTAAGCCTAAAGAAGGGGCTAACTCCACAGCCAGTGTAATTTGTACTGAATATCCAATCAGCTCTAATTATTAACAGCATGTTACATGTGCATACACAAGCATCTGTCATCCCAGAGGATCCCAAAACATTTTCTGAAGTCAGCACAGTAGTTAAGGCAGGACTCCCCGGGGTGCTGAGCTCAGGTGAAGCTCTGCAAAATTTCTGAGGACTGTGACCCCAACAGGATGTCTCAAAGCTGGAAAGGAACAGCCTGTCTCCCAGACAAAGGAGATTTCTTGAACAAGGCGGCAGGAAACCCTCTACTTTTCTGTGGAAATGCCAGTTCTGAAGCAGCCAGCATGGCATAAATGGCACTTTCCCATGTCTAATTCCTATGGGAACGGGACTTCTAAGTTTACCCTCTTCTCAGTCCCATTTGAATCCTGCCTACAGCAACTGAATTAATAGCTAATAACAATGCATTCACTCAGCAGATGCACATACCATTAACTGAATCCCTTGTCATCACCTTTCACTAACCCTTATTTTATTCAGTCCCTTGGTGCTTAATACTTATTTAACCACAACTGAAGTTCGATGGCTGCTTTTGCAGCCAAATCCATGACTTAATACATGCACTCTTAAAGCACCACTCAGGAGAGTGGACAAAAATAACAATAATGAAAAAAAACAAACAACCAGAAGAGCTATTTGAAATGAGTTGGTTTCTTTTCATCTCCTTATCTCCAAGTGTCGGCAGCTTACACATTTTAGCATCATGCACAGTAATTAGACTTTGGTAACAGCTTATCACAACAATAAGACAAGTTCCCGTCATCATAACACTTCTTCCTCTGCCAATTCAAGCAGTGATCACAATCAATGAAAGTAATCTACAGCAGCTTCCACCCTGTCCTGCAGTTTCTGAATTAAAGCAATGCTGTCAGCCAAGAGAACTTTCTTTTTAAGTTTTAGAGACCAAGTGGTAATGGAGAATTTGCTTATACGTCAAGATAACAAAACATTCTTATTAAATATACCCCTGGTGGGAAGTAAATTCACAAGGTGTTTATGTCACTTGGAATTTGAAATGCAGTTCACAAAAATACGCCAACTAGCTATCCCTAAGTAAAATAACCACAAACCTATTCCATAAAAATGTTTAACATTCACTATTGAATTCAATTTGGGTTGAAAGGGCTCCATCCAGCCAAGATGCTGTTTCTGGAATGGACAGAAATGCACAAGAACAGAGACACAATCTAACAGGTTTCAAAAGTGATTTCCTTGTGGAGAAAAAAGAGGAGACCCTGGAGGCTGCTGGGGTGGGGACAGGGTGGCAGACTGACATGGAAAGGTGGAATAAGGTAGAGGAGCTGACTACAAGGTCAGACACGAGCTTGACCATTAATCCTAATGGTACAACATCAATTGAAGAATGTGGTCCCAAACCATATATTTGAGTTACTTTAACCTGTAGGTGTTTGCTCTGCAGCTCTTCTCTTTCCTGGTGTGAAGAGATTTATGCCTGGGATTGGGAGTGTATTTGTGTCTCAGAAAAGGACCAAGAAGAGTTCATGCAGTTCTGAATTTACTGATGCCTACTTGTGAAGCCTAATTTTGCAATTACAAAAATCCCATGAAACTCATGGACCCTGTGTCCATGAGAAGTGCATCTGATC